AAATGTGTTTAAGACTGTAGTTTAAAGGCTTCCAAAATGATTGAGAATTTATTTTATTTATTTATTTATAAATCAAATTTATATCACTGCCCAACTCCCCCACAAGGAGGGACTCTGGGCGGTTCACAGCCAAACAGTTAAAACCAATAAAAACATAAATAGTATAGCATAAAATACAATTATTAAATATGATAATTTTGCCCTTGGAATCTGGATATCTAGAGAACCAAGCTCTCTTGCATAGTGCTGGGAGAAATGAACTATTGCTTTCTTCTCCAAATATAGTCTGTAGGTGCCCTGCCTTTACTTCTGACTGGACTCCTTTCTGATTGAACCTTAGAAGCAGTGGCAAAACAATGTAGTCCAAATACATAGCATGTGAGATGAGTCGGCCATGTCTTTGCTGTTGGCTTCATAGTTCAGTACCAGAATAGAGAGAAATGAGCTGTTTTGTTAATGCAAAAGCTTTTGAAACATTTCTCTAAGTGCTTTGGAGTGTTGAGAAGAAACTGGTTGACTTAAGTGCTGGCCTGTCTAGCTGTCCTAGGCACAGATATTTCTTGAGTGAGTACTTTGGTTGTTTAGGACATTAACAGGATAAAAATGGTTTCAGCAAAAACTTTTTTGTACTTCTTTCAAAATAGGACAGAAAATTTGCTAATAGCTTATGAATAAGAGAGTTTAACATAATATCTTGGGTGGGTTGGTAAATGTTGCCTATAATTATTAAGCCCTTTTGCTAGATGTTTTCAACTGTATTAAAGGCTAACTCCTTATGTGTGGGACTGTTTCTCGGTATGGCTACCAGAAAACCAAAGAACAGTAAATACAGCAGCCCCCAGGATTAAAAATTTAGGCTTCTCTGGGTAGATCAATGGGTCTTTTATGAGTTACTGCAATTGGGATACTTTGTAGGGACAAAGTTAACCACCTGAATAATTTGATGTGATGCATAAGGAAAGTTTCATTCCTTTAAATAATGGCCAATAGCGGTAGCATCATTGCTGCTGGGAACTACATTTCCCAGGATTCCTGATTCTTGAGATGTAATTATAGCATCTATACTTGCATTAAAGATTATAGGAATTCTAAGAACATTAGAAAAACATCAGAAACAGGGATGGGCAAATCTTTTCATATTCTACAATATTTACATTTTTTTCAAAGACTGATTGGTCTACATTGCTGCAGACCAATGACTGTGTAATAAATACACATACAGTTTTTTTTTTAACTTTACAAAACTTGAAATGCATTTTCTGTACCCAAGAAAATTCATACAAATTTAACCTGCAGTTTTTTAAAGGTACATATTAGTCTGTGTTTTTGAACTGATAACTGCTTGGCAAAATTCAGAGAAAGGAAGAAAAAGGGATACTTATGTTCTAATCTGGGAAATACTAATTATACCCGGTTGTATTCAGATGTGAACTGATTGAAAGCAACCTACTTAAGGAATCCTAGAAAATATTTGCCGAGGCTCATGAGACCATGGATACATAACAGAAGCATTCTAGTGTTTGGTCCCAGTGATAGCTGGTTCATCCACCAGCATCAGATAAGATTACATAAAAAAGAGAAACAAAGACTGACAACAGAATGAACCCATTCTGAATTAGATGAAATGTTGTGTTTCATTGACAGGATGACTTGGAAATGCTGTTTCTGAACCTCCCAGTTGCAGATTTGCTGTGATTACTGCATTATGGCTATATGTAAAATATGGCTATGTTAATCAGTCCTTAATCAGTAGTGGTATCTTTTCACTTATATTCCAATTGACTTTTGAACATGAGGTGTCTGATGGGAAAAAATCCTAACACTTTTAAAGCTGGAAGTATAAGGAGGAAATTTAATAAGGAAAAGTAATGTTATAATGAAGAGCTCGATGAATTAAGAAACGAATGTTCCTATTGCCTTAAGCACCTTTCTCATTATTCATTCTTTTTAAAGCTGAAAAGTAATTCAGTTCAGCTGTGGCATTTTTTTCAGATACAGAAACTGCCATATTGCAGTAATTTGGTGTATTATGATCCAGCTTTAGTAATGTAAATTATTGTGACTTACAGCAAAATAGCTATGTTATGCTGGTCCATGACTGTAATAAAGATTTGATTTGAAAATAGCTATGGTTGTCATGTGCATTATATTAATGTATTCAAATTCTTTAACAACTTCCATTCTGATTGCTTAAGGAACTCTATTTTGTTTCCCTTCCTCCCCCACAAAAAATAGGGTGAAGATGGTTTCCCTGGATTTAAAGGTGATATGGGCATTAAGGGTGATAGAGTAAGTATTATTCTCATTTAAACACATAGAGATCTTCATTTAATGGATATGATTGATTCTTCTGAAGTCATTTACTTTCCCAAAAAAGAAGAGGCAAGAAGGCTAGGTTAGATTTATTTTATTTAGTTTATATGCTGCTCCAATCATTAACTGACTAAGCAGTTTACTATCCTGCCATGTGTAAACAAGATTAAAGCAACTGGATAACTAATAAACATTAACATCCATGAATTTAACACGATACAGCAAAATATTCCTATGCCGAGAACCATAAAAATCTATATAGTCATATATTCTTATACAAGAGGATTCTTTTTTAATTCACCTCCCCCTCAAAGGCCTGATGAAATAACCAGGTTTTGATTACTTTCATAAATCCCAGTATTGTTGGGTCAGTTCAATGCCCAGAGGAGTGTTGTTCTAGAGAAGAGAGCAGCAATTAAAAAGACCTTCATCACCAAGAATTTATAGATGACAATATTTAGGAGAAGGAACCTGAAGGCATGTGATGTTTGTTAGCAAAACAAGAGTTTAACTTTTGTACTAGTACTGCTCTATCCTCCATTCCTCTTCCTGCCACCCCACCCAGTAGATTGGTGAGCATGAGGGCTTTTGCTAAGCTCTACTGTATTACTGTAGGAAATATCAAAAGATTCATTTGCTTAAGATGTGTATTTTATGAGCCTGCATAGTTTCTGATTTTTGTAATTTGAGGATGGGATAACTCTTTTTATTAAGGCTTTAACTGTTTATTTGTGTTTTATTAATAAGTGGAATTTTATTAATACTGGTATTTACTGTTTAATTGTTCCACATTCTCTCACCTGGGCTGGAAGGCAGCCTTAAAGTAATTTAAATGATAAATTAACCACACAACATGCGGTAGTGGAATCATTGTACATACATTCCTGTATGCTACTTCTCCATTAGCACTGATTTTAGTATGCTCCAGATATTATTAGTTATGATTCTCATTATTGATCTGAATGTGTCAGCTTTTGTATTCTTCCAAAATTGCCCTTCCATGTATAAATCAGATCTCAAATTATTTGATGCTACTACTTAGAATGGTAGTGTCATCATATGACAAATCTCAAAACCTCAAAAACTTTATAAGGAAGCAAGACAATTGATTTTCTTTTATTCAGCATTGTTAACTTGCATGTTATTTGCATATACTATTTGCAGAAGCTGATATTTTACAAAAGTTGCATATAGTTTGATACTATTGAGCAAGAACATTTACTATTTATATGTATTGATTTTTTAAATAAAATGGATCATCAAGGTGATTTTTTAAATGGATAACGTTTCAGTAATACTTATTAGAAACCTCACAACCAACTTGAAACAACTCAGCACAACCACTGTCAAGATAAAAACTGAAATCTTAAGGGATCTGTAACAAGAAATTTTACAGAAGAAGAAACTGAATGAGGATTTCTCCCTGTATCACAGTTAGTTCCAATTAGTGCCAGAACTCATGATAATGCTGATTAATCAAACTTTAGAAAAGAAAGCAGAGGGATAGCAACCATTTTGTTTTCTGTGGTGGCTCTCTTAACTATTATACTTAGAAAGCTTTAGGAGAAACTTAATCTGAATAAAATTTGAGAGAGTCAGTGGGTGGTCTTTAATTATTGTTTAGTTGTTTTGCATTCTCAACCCTGCAATATAATTCAAGCTTTACTCTATCATGGAGACAGATGGTTAGTTTTATTTACACAATATTTTTAAGGGTGAAGTTGGTCCTCTTGGGCCTCGAGGAGAAGATGGCCCTGAAGGTCCCAAAGGTCGTTCAGGTCCTACAGGAGACCCAGGTGGCCCTGGCCAAGCTGGAGAAAAGGTTAGTAATGGTTTAGTCTGATATTTCTATCATGAGAATTGACCAGCATAATACTAGCAAGAATGTGACACAAACAATTGAAGCACAAATGACATATGGAAACATTAACCTCATGTGTGAAACGTATATGTAGGGGATCTCAGATTTGTCATAAAGGCCTACATTAGAACTTATGAGAACATGTATTTATTTATTTACAGGATTTATATGGCCACCTATCTCATATGAGTCTCTTTACATGGTGAAAAGACAACTCACCTTTTTTACATGATGACTATTATGTCAGTGAGAGGTGTAAATTGGAAATCTCCCACTTAAAACCAAAGTTTCTTATCAAGGAAGAAGAAGAACCCAATTCAATTCAAACAGTAGAGCAGTGGACCAAAGGCAGCTTGTAGAGTCTCCTTAATATTTTCTTTTAGTTTCTGAAATAAAAACCATTTTCTTATCACCAACTCTCCATTTGCTGTCTCTGTGCATCTCTATTTAATCTATTATGATCTCTGTGTTTTATTTTAAGAATTCTAAATAGAGAGTAGTGATAATACCCTAAAAGTGATACTGAATATGTATATCTTTTTCTGAAGCATATACAAAACTATAATGAACATCTTTCTCCTTGAACAATTTTTATAGAATAAGTCCATCTCATTCTATCATCCTTTAATTGATTATTGCTGGATTGTTTCTGATTCTGATTCCTGTCTATACATTTAGGCAAATTCTTCCACCTTTCCCAAATTACTTCCAGGTGTCCTTTCTGCTTGGTGTGGAGATAACCTTTTGTTCAAATACATTTCTGCTTCATTGCATCGTTGGCCTGATCAAAGACATGCTTGTTTATAAGGATCTTTTGAATGGCTTTCTCCAGATGATTCCCCTTCCATGTAAAAAAGAGAAAGGAAGGTTATAATTTGATGCTAGAGAGCTTTATAAGCTGTCATAAAAATACTTTAAAAGTCAGATCATTCATTTCAGAAAATATTCCTTTCAGCTTCACTTAACTGTTGGGAGCTATTTGGAATTAATGATCCTTATAATGTTTCAAGACATTTTGCCAGTGTTAAAAAGGTCATGAATAAAGAACACCACTATTATAATTATGCATAAATGGAAGCATAATTGGAAAGTCATCATTGAATTCCCATTAAATTCCAATTCCATAAAAACAGGAATATGTGAGACTTATTTTCTCCCAAAACCTAAATTAATTCCTAGTGAGCTACTTCTGTGTGGAAATATTGTGACAGATATAGAATTTGATTCAAAGGAGTGTGCGAAGAAGAAAAATAGCACTTAATGCAATTTTGCAAAGGCTTACATGAGTGTATCTTTACATGAAGCTGTAACAGGTTGGTAATAGAGCAGTCTCCATCTTTACTTGTTCCACAGCTTGTGCAGGGATCATAGAATCTCAGAGATGAAAGAAGCCATTGAGGCCGACCCTTGCTCAGTGCAGGAATACTAATTAAGGTATCTCTGATAGATGGCTATCTAGCATCTCCTTCAACACATCCAGCCCTTCCCCCTTGCTCTCCTGGTAGTTGGTTCCACTGTCAAACTACTCCTAGTGTTAAAACATTTTTAAGGTTTCTTTAAACATTCAGCCAGAATATGTACTCTGCATTCCATACTTTGGGTTAGTAGAGAATAAATCTTGGCCTTTTCCTGTGTGACATCCGTTCAGTTATTTGCAGTCTGCTATCCTTCTTATTAAGGTTAAACCTAGCCAGAACCTTTCCACAAAGGATTTGGCTTGCAATTCTCTGATTGTCCTCACTGTCCTTCCTTGAATTTATTCCAGTTTTTTCCTGAATCCTTTTGGATCCTTTTAAGTTGTCATATTCAGATTGGAACGAAAGGTGGGCTGGCACTATTACTTTCCATGATTTGGGAATGGTACAACATACTTTTGAAACAGTCTAAAACTATGTTTGTCTTTGTAGGCAAACCATTCTGCTGTCTTTTATTCAGTTTGATTATAAATTGAATAACTAATAATTACAATATGATTGGTCCAGTCAGCCTACTGTTCATAACTGGCTGTGGAACTCATACCCTCTTGTCAAAGAAAACAACCAGGAGATGTGCAGCTGTACATTTTCTTTATTATCACTTTGCTTTTACCATCTTTATTGAGCAGTTGGTATACTAATTCTGTTACCTACTTTTATTCTGAAATTGCCAAAAGCGCCCTTTTTTGTTGTTCTTTGCCTTCTTTGTCAACCAAGGCTTGTGCTGAACTTCTGATGCCATCTCTACAATTTTGGACTACCTGTGCACTCTAGCCAACCAACCCTTCTTTTCACATACTGTATGTAACTTTTTTGTTATTTAAAGGTCATCATTGGGCAACTACATTGGCTTTCTTCAACTATTTTACTTTTTTTTCCTTGCTGTGATTATGATTTTAACACCCTCTATTTAGAGGGTATGTCCACCATCTTGAGTTCTTTTTCCCTTCAGCTTCTCCTGACATGAACATTTTCTTGTCATTGCCCTGAGTTTATTGAAATCTATTTTCTTGAAGTCCATGGTTCATGTACAGCTACACTCAAATTTAGCATTCCTTAGAGCCAGGATTTCGAATCACTTTTCCTACCTGGAGTTTTTGTTTTAGTTTCAATTTTCTTGGAGAGGAAGTGAAACAAAAAGAACAGCTTGGAGAGAAGAAGTGAAACAAAAAAAAGACACAAAATCCAGGAAGCCATAATTCTTTGAATTAGTTCACTCTACCCAAACATAAATATTTGAGAAATAATATTAGAGAGAATGCTTACTCTAAAAAAGGTAAACAAAAGCAATATATACTCAAACCATCTTACATAGTAACAATAATTAAGTGTATGATATTTAATTACAAAAACATTTTTTTAAAAAAACATTGGTTTATTCACATTTAGGGGGCCAATAATCTTTCATATTTCATCTTTTAAATAATTTTCTAATGAGTCACAAAAGCTAATGCTACAAATTAGAAAATATAGATTTAAATACTTAGCACATTTCAGAACCCCAGGAGCTAGAGCTAAGAAAAGCAGCAATTCTAAGTTAATAAAAGTTAAGATTTAACATTGTTTACATAGGCATAAAGTTGATTAAAAACATGAATTTCCTTTCCTCTTGAATGGAATGTTTTTACAGTTTCTTACGAGATTAGATCTCAAAAGGATCATGACTGTGTATAATGTTCAGGCCACTGGTTTTCTATATTAAAGATATCAGAAACATCATTATCATCATCATAGCAATAATAAGAATAAGTCAATTGCAAAAGGCAGCTTTACTTGGAACAGCTTATATCCTGTGACA